AAAAAAAAAAAAAAAAAAGAATGTCTTAGAGCCTTAAAAAAAATTAAAACTTCTAGAAGTAATTCATTATAGAAAATTTAAAGAAGTGTTTGTGTCCTTTTTAATTTTAAAATATTGTTAGCTTCTGGGCACTGTGGATCACACCTGTAATCCCAGCACTTTGGGAGGCCAATGTGGGCGGATCACCTGAGGTCAGGAGTTTGAGATCAGCCTGGCCAACATGGTGAAACCCTGTCTGTACTAAAAATACAAAAATTAGCTGAATGTGGTGGTGGGCACCTGTAATCCCAGCTACTTCAGAGGCTGAGGCAGAATTACTTGAACCCGGAATGTGGAGGTTGCAGTGAGTCGAGACTGTACCATTGCACTCCAACCTGGGCAATAGGAATGAAACTCTGTCTCAAAAAAAAAAATTATATATATGTATATATATATATATGTATGTATGTATATATACACACACACGTACATATATATATATATATATACACACACACACATATACATATACATATATATAGAGAGAGAGTGCATTTTTTAAGATCCTTTTGAAAATTAAATTACCTTCAAAGAAAAAATTATTTTTCAGGTCTTTTGTGAAATAAATGTGTCCCATTTTTCATTATTTTCTTAATCCATGGATGGCTAGTGAGCACACTGAGTAGAATGTAAAACATTTATTTTTAGGAAAAACATTTAATGGATTGAATCAGATTTGTACTGAGACCATTTAGATCTTATCACTGAACTTCAGACTATAGTAATTTTCATGAAAATTCTGTGTTTATATTCATTTTACATATGTTTTTAGGAGTTTGAACTTGGTTTGTCAAATTTACAGACCTTGTTAGGTACAAGTCATTTACTCCCCAGCCCAGCCCAGAATGTCCCCATGTGTGAATGCTGGTTTATATTCTGTGATTAATTCTTTGTTGGCTGTGTTTATGTAACATAAGCCTGTGCTATTACATTTAAAATAAAAGCTCTGATTTGGTTGTCAGCTGCTGAGGAACTTGATATGGAAAATGAATTTTTATTACCACCTGTTTTTGGTGAAGAATATGAGGAACAGCCCAGACCTCGATCTAAAAAAAAGGTACAAAATTTAATAATATTCTTGCATTCACTTAATATCCTATATAGCAATATCTATAGGCAGAGAAGGATACAGTGGTCTTTTAGTGTGCCTGAGAATATGGGAACATATTTTGTTGTAAAAGAATTTAAGAAGTAACCTATTTCCAAGTAATAAAAATATCTCAGAGTTATTAACCTCAACTAAACTGTCTTGGTACAAAGTCAGAAATAGAAAATAGTTGCTCAAGTAGTAAGTTCAATTCTTTGACAAGAATTTAGACTGTTTTCTAGGGAGCTGTTTTTTCCACCATTATTTCTAATGAGATTTATCAGTGAAGTTGAAGTACACAGTTTATTATATCTGGTGTCTTCTAGGCATTCCAACACACACAGAAAGAAATGTTGGACAGTTTGATCATTCGGGTAGACCAAATCTACATGCATTAACAAGTGTAATTGTTTTAATATTCTGTCAACTTTCTGTCTCTGACTTCCAACATATAAAGCACGTTTTAAAAATACTTTAAGAAAGATAGCGTTCAAAAATTTTCCCAAAAGAAAGATAAAGCCTGAAAAGGGAGTAGTACTTGCAGTAGAATGAAGGTGAACTCCTGCTTGACACCAAACACAAAAGTTAAAATGAGCCATACACCTAAATGTAAAAGCTAAAAATATAAAACTCTTAGAAGAAAACATAGGCCTAAATCTTCCTGGCCTTATTTTAGGCAGTTTCTTAGGTAAGATACCAAAAGCACAGGGGGAAAAAAGGAAAAATAAATAAATAAATTGGACTACATCCAAATTAGAAACTTTTGCATCGTAAACAGTATTATCAGGAAAGTGAAAAGGGGACCAGACCAGAGTGGCACCTATAATCCAGCTTTTGGAAGACTGAGGTGGGAGGATTGCTGGAGCCCAGGAGTTTGAGACCAACCTGGGCAACATAGTGAGACCTCTTGTCTCAACAAAAAAATAAAAAATAAAAATTAGCCAGGCATGGTGGCATGTGCCTGTAGTCCCAGCTACTCAGGAAGAGGATTGAGGTTGCAGTGAACTATGATCATGCCACTGTACTCCAGCTTGGGCGACAAAGTGAGACCTTGCCTCAAACAAAACAAAACTCAAGCATGGATACTTACCTGGCAAGGGAGATACCATGATGACAAAACTCTAGCATGGGCGGCAGAGCGAGTCCCTGTCTCAAAAATAATAAAATAAAATAAAGTGAAAAGGAATGTCATTCTTTATAAGATGGAGTTGTTGAAAAGTTCTTCAATTTCTCTGTTACAGTAATATTTAGATTGTTAGTTTATGAATTGTCTTATATTTATTTTCTCATTATTGGTGACTCTTACCGCAGAATTTAATATGATTTTGTTGCACAAAGTGATCTATGTGAAAACATCATATTTCCTGAAGTGTTATAGGTAACTGTTGTCAGATTCAGGAATACCAGTCAGTTCTAAGCAAATACCTACCTATATTTCATTTTTTTCTTTTCTAATTTCATGACAGATTAAACAAATAACTATATTTTTAATTACAAATGACCCTTCTACAATGCAGTGGTTGGGGTGCTCATCCCCCCTGCATAGTCAAAAATTTGTGTGTAACTTTTGACTCCCTAAAAAGTTAACCACTAGTAGCCTACTGTTCACTGAGCCCCCTTGCACAGTCAAAAATTCATATATTACTTTGACTCCCTAAAAAGCTAACAACTAGTAGCCTACTGTTGATGGGAAGCCTTGCAGATAATAGTTGATTAACATTATTTTATATGTTACATACTGTATTTTTATAATAAAGTTAGCTAGAGAAAAGAATGTTACCAAGAAAATCATAAGAGAGAGAAGATATATTTACGATTCATTAAGTGAAATAGATCATCCTCATTGTTTTCATGTTTAGTAGGCTGAGGAGGAAGAGGAAGGTTGGTCTTGCTGTATCAGATGGCTCAATTGGAAGAGGTGGAAGGAGGTAGGAGAGGCAGGCATATAGAAAAACGTGTGTGTTGAAGTAGACCCCTACAGTTTAAACCATGTTGTTCAGGGGTTGAATCTAGTTTGCCTTTGTTGAGAGATGGCTTCTATAAAGTAATGAAATAATGTAGGCTTTAAAAAAGACATTACTGTGGTGTTTTTTCACTAATAGGGAGCCAAGAGAAAGGCTGTATCAGGATACCAGTCTCATGATGATAGTTCAGACAATTCAGAATGCAGCTTTCCTTTCAAATATACATATGGCGTAAACGCTTGGAAACACTGGGTCAAAACTAGGCAACTTGATGAAGATCTTCTGGTATTAGATGAGTTAAAATCTCGTAAGTGTTTTAATCTTGTTTCTCCTAAGTCCTGTTTAACATCAAGATTTCTGTTATTGTGTACCTTTAAATTTAAAATACGTAGGCTGGGTGCAGTGGCTCACGCCTGTAACCAGCACTTTGGGAGGCCGTGGCGGGTGGGTCACGAGGGTAGGAGATGAAGCGCATCCTGGCCAACATGATGAAACCCTGTCTCTACTAAAAATACAAAAGTTAAGTGGGTGTGGTGGCACGCACCTGTAGTTCCAGCTACTCGGGAGGCTGAGGCAAGAGAATGGCTTGAACCCAGGAGGCAGAGGTTGCAGTAAGCCGAGATTGCACCACTGCTTTCCAGCCTGGGCGACAGAGTGAGACTCTGTCTCAAAAAAAAAAAAAGAAAAAAAAATCCATAAATGTAGGTAGCTTAAAATGCCTGTAAGAATGCATTTTATTTTGCTTCAGAGTTCTTATAAAGAATAATGTCAGAAAGTTTCTTAAGACAGTAAATAATAACAATTACTGATTTTTATTTTGTGTTTTTAGCTAAATCAGTAAAGTTAAAAGAGGATCTACTCTCTCACACCACAGCTGAGCTTAACTATGGGTTAGCTCATTTTGTCAATGAGATCCGAAGGCCAAATGGAGAGAATTATGCACCTGACAGCATCTATTATCTTTGCCTTGGAATACAGGAGGTTAGTAACTTGATGGCTGCTTTCAGATATAACATTAATAAGAAAAGTTGTGGTAGTTTTTGTTCCTGCAGCTTTATGGAACCTTTATTGGCTTACCAAGAAAGACAAAAATTTAGTCTCTTTGGAAATACCGTGATATTATAAATGATTAGTTACTTTGTGTTTCTTCTGTAATGCAGTATATATGTTTCTAAAAAACTTGAAGTTCTCCAAAACTTTGTACCAAAACCAAAAAGAATTTATGGGAAAAATAAGATATGGACAGACCACTCAAAACTTCGGCATCTTTTGTAACACGTCTAACAAAGTTGTATATTTGCCACCATTTATATATACACGTTAAATAGTATAACTTCTCATTAATTCTTTGGCTATTTTATAAAAAGATAACTTTCTTTAAGGGTAAAGATAAACTTCATCTACATGTCTCAGTTTGTTTTCTACAGTAAACACGATGATCAACTTTAAGCAATGACCTCTAGTTCCGAACAGATTCCACAGATTTGTGCCCAGAAGTCAGAAAGAATCTCCAGCTTCACGTCTTACTTATTTTGAAATATGGTAGATGACAGGGGAAATCTCTTCAGAGTTTTATTTGTAGGCCTTAAAGTTAATTTTATTATGCTAACAGGTGTTAGATAATGAAATAAATACTGAAGAAAACTAGAATTATCTTAATTTGTGTTTTATTTACTTTTTCTTTAGGATAGAAATTTGCTTAAGATTCTGTAAGTGGTGTTGCAAATACATAGTGCATGGCTGTAAATCACTGTGTATTAAAGGACCATCACATACCTTGCAATAGCAACCTGAAAGATACGTGAATAGGTTCACTTTTTCTTATTCTCCTTTTATAGGTTTACATGTACTTTGAGCCTCATGCTTAGATAATAATATAGGTCCATCATTCCCCAAACATCTGAATACCAGATTTTTTTTTTTTTTTCATGAAAACACACTAAATAGTAAAACCTGACTTAAAGAATTGTGAAGCTACTGTTGTCTTTATTTATTACTCTTAGTGTTAATATTCATCCATTGAATGTTAACCATTGAATTTACTATAGAATTGTTAATGCTTCTAAATAAGTAGAGTGCTTACCCACACCACTCTAGGAATATTAATGTATTATAATTATGTACATGCCATGTGTTTCTCCTGTAAAATCCAGACAATTAGGAATTCCGAAACATGTGACTCCCGTGGTTCTGGCTGAAGGGTTGAAGACCCATGTGTGTATTTCCCTCCTCTTCTTATATTATACATACCTAGGAGGGAGGGATAGAGTAGGAATAGCATTTATACTGTTCCAGGTATAGGTGAAATCATCTTCCTACTCTAGTTTCAGAACAAATTATTTACTACCTATAAATCCTCTTAAGAGCAAATGGAAGCTAGGTCTTACTTTTGTTACTTGTACCATGCTGTCCACATGTACACAGTTACTCATTGAGTTGGATGATTGTCATGACTTTTTACACAGTAAACCTCTAGATCCCATTTTGGGCTTTTGCGTGTGTGTGTATTTGTTTGTTTATGATGGTGGAAATTTTTTAAGGAGAACATTTATATTTTAGACATAATTCTGTTATCTATATCAGCTGTTTTTTAAAGTGCTGTAGAGAGCAGCACTGGGGTTGTGGCAAATTAACTCAGCAGGAAGGAGAGAGGTTGAGTTCTAGGCTCCTCTTGTTTTAATTCATTTCTACTTTTTAAGGGCTATGTTTTGGGGTTATGTATGAAATTTCATTTAGAAGAAGTTTCTGCTAGAAACAAGGCTTAAAAGCTTACTATTTAGATAATAAAACTTTTAAAATCAATAAAAATAACAAAATAAGGGGTTCTCTGTCCCACCCATCTCTAGTCTCTATAGTTCCTCTCCCTAGAGACAGTGCTTTCTGCTCTTTTGGCTATTTCCTCGGGCATTACTTGCACATATAAATATAATTAAGTTTTATATATTCTTAGGTTCACTATTCCAGTAGGTGGTCTTTTGTTATTTTTTAAATATATCTTAGAATTTTCTGTATACACAATCATGTCACTTATGAATAAGGACAGTTTTACATCTTTCTGATCTTTCTTTTCTATGCTTTATTACATTGCTTGAGACCTTCCCCCATTTTTCTCTCCTGCCACCCAACCCCTAGTACAGTGTTGAATGGAATTAGTGATAGCAGAAACTCTTGCCAAGTTCCTGATGTTAGAGGGAAGTATTTTGTCTTTAACCGTTAAGTATGATGCACGCTTTAGGGTTTTTTTGGTAGCTTCCTGTTACTAAGTTGAGGAAGTTTTCTTCCATTCTTAGTTGACTGAGGATTTTTTAACTTTTTATTTTGTTGCCAAGAGGTTTAAAAAAAAATAATAATCATAAATGCTTACTGAGTTTTGTCAACTGCTTTTTTGCATCTGTTAAGATATGGATTTTCCCTCTTACTAATAATGGTATGATTATTAATTTTCAGACATTAAGCCAGCCTAACATTCTTGGATAGACTCCACTTGATAATGTTATCTTTTTTATATTTTGCCAGATTAGATGTGCTAATATATTGTTGATGATTTTTGTAGATGTTAATGAGAATAAGTAACTCTGAGGTTTTTTT